CAAAACATTTTTAATTATCTTATAATTTTATACCATTGAAAGAAAAATAATTAAAAATACATTTAAAATAATATTGTATGCAGTTTTTCACACAATTAAAAATTATTCAAACATTTTAGACAAAGATACTTTAGGTATTATAGCTAGTATTTTAGTCCCATAGCTTCAGTCACCACAACCACCGAAGTAACAAATTCTAGACACTATTATAATTTATATGTAGGTATAAATTGTTATTTAATACAAATAGGTTTAAAACACATAATATCAATAATGAATACTTGAATATGTCAATAAAATATAACCATGGTACACCTCGTGGCTCGTATCTATCATACCTTCTACTACCTAAATATTAGTATATTATATTTAATTACATAATTGTTTTCAAATATCAACTCCTATTTTAACTAAAAAAATTATAATTATTATAAAATATTGATATTAGGTAAAAATTTGGTATAAATTTATCATTTAGTAATTTTTCATTTTATTTTTTGAAATTTCTTTTGAAAACAAAAATATTTTTGTTAAATGAGATGGGAAACTAAAATCAATAGACCCCTTCCCCTAAATTTGGGCTTGGATACATTGCCGATAAATTATTGTCTCAGCCAATTCAAAAAACATCAAAGCTAATCAAATATTATTAGAGCTCAGATAAAAAAGGGGAAGTAGAATGTATGTATGTATAATTAAAAAAATGTCACAAATTAATCGCTACTTGTTACAATCTTCATAATTTCGTAGGTACCACCCTTAACGAATTTAACGTTACAGTGTGGAGTAGATATTAAACATATAAAAATAGTCCATACTTAAGTTATTATGCATTCAAAAATAGGGAAACACTGCACTAAAAGTTCTTAAATTAGTAAAATTAAGTAAAACAAACTTACCTAATGAAATAAATGTACTGTTATGTATACATCTATAGAGGGCAATGTATATTATGAAAAAATAATTTATGATATTAAACTTTCTCACTGAAATACCATAATATAATATTCAAATATAGTCTATATTGCCTATACAGTATAGTCTATAGATATGAAATTTTTACTAACCCATAGACCACACATTGACCTTCATTATGCAAAATAAAATAAATATATTTGCGGATTCATTTGCACTAACGTCTAAAATAATATAATAATATATTATGCAAAAATACGCATTGACAATAATATTTCAAAAGATTAAATGTACACCTATATTTTTCAAAATAATTTCTCTATGATCATTATCGATCGACTGTCAACTTAGCTGTGGGCCCGTAACAGCAGCAGCAGCCTGCAGCTGTTCCCCGGGTCACCTACGTCCTGTTCCGGCTGTTCTCACTTCTCGTACGGCCGCTGTACGACGCGTGGGATAGGTCGCGGTAACGGGCACGACAATAATTTATTTGTTAACAATTACCACGGTGGGTACCGTTCGCCGCGCTAGTCCGGCGGAGTTAATAACCTGTATAAACATTAGTATACCGTGTACCTATTATCTACCTATATGATATAATTATAATAGAAATATTATTATTGTAGGTTGTCCCGTGGCTGGCGCGCCGTACGATGACGACGTTATCACCGTGGCGTGATAACGTCGTATCTTTAGTCGTTACTTCCCCGTTTTTATTTTATTGACATTTGATGCAGGCGGTTTTTTCACATTGTTGATTGTTGTTTGTTTCGGTTGTTGTTCACGTTTTCGCTCGTCCGCAATCGTCGTAACTACACAATATTATTACTATTATTATTGCATTATATTATATTTTGATATTATTCTCGACACACTTGAAACCGTGCGCGCGCGCGCACACTCCCCCCTAGGGGGAAAGTGTTGTCCTACCGAATAGCGGATTTGTGATTTTGCCGTTTGTGTTCCTACAATATGTACTACTTGCGGTGCGCAGAGAATTTCACACAAGAAACATTGTACGTATTCGGTATTTACGGCCCCCTGACCTTGAGTAGACGTAAACATTAATTTTTCATTTTTCCGATATGCCGCTGGGTCAGTAGTCATCGTAGGTAGGTGAAAACACAATTTGTAAATTTTTAAGTTTAAACTCGTACACGATGATTAGACCGATTGTGCGCACCACTGCCCTTGCGGCGCCACGAAAACTGAGGCCAAAGAAATTCTATTCCTCTAGTGTTAACGGTGACGGGCCTAAAGCGTCTGTCAAGACGAGAGCGGCGACTATGTTAAAATATATTTGGTAAGAGTCCGCTTTGCAGATGCTTATGATGCCCCCAAACAAGTAACGATTAAACGACCGACATCGATTACCTAATATTAGTCGAGTATGTTTACGGTAACTGTGCAATTTTGCTCATTTTTTATTTTGTCTTCTACAGAAAATTAGATATATTTTTGGAAATATTTCTTGTTTATAGTTTGGTATGTGTATAGTAAAAAAGTATATATTTATATTCTAAGTGCAAATAGCAAATTATACCTTTTCCATTAAAAATTCTTTGCAACATGGTTGTTTATTAATATTGTAGTAGGTATATGTATATTGATTCCATAGAAACAATTGTATAAACCTGTAGATAATTTTTTTTTCTAAATTTACCTATAAGTAATTATAACTAAATAAGTGATCACCAAATTTATTTATTCATTATTAATAAATTTTTACAGGATGGGGAGTTTCACATCTTCTGTGAAAATTGACAATGAAGATTCCCAAGATAAAGATTTGCAGTTTGACAACCATGTCACCTATCAACAATTACTTGAATATTGCCGTGCTCATAATAATCAATGGCCTAACTCACAACTCATAAAAAGAACATTTTCGTCAATCCCATATGGTTAGTCTTACATGTTTTTAAATAATAAACTTGCCGTTTACATACATTATTCATAATTCATATTACACATTCAATTATGTGCTACTACTTACCACTTACAAAAGTAATATTTTATGAACTAAATCTATTTTTAGTTTTTTTTTCTTTTAATGGTTTTAATGACTAGGTAATAAGTGGGGGGGGGGGAGACAGTTAAAATCTACTATTTCATTTTAAATTTACTCAAAATAAAATAAAATTCATATTTTTTGATAAAAAATTATATTCTGATGCCTAGTTAATTGCATACAATTTTATTAGACAAATATAGCTCTATAATGTTATTATCATCTCTGAGGTTACATTTTATATACTTTAAAAAACTTTTTATCAAAATGTGTGATTGAATAATTTGTAATATTATCTTAGCTTACCTACAATTACTTTTTAATTAAAAAATGTATTTGTGTAGACCCAGATAGTGTTGAAGGAAATCCTGTTAGAGTACTTCAGTGGAATGTTTTGTCACAAGGTAACTAATATAATTAATAGTTTGACATTTTTCTATTGTGTCATCGTTATAATCATTATCAACAGTGATTTTTTTTACATAATTTATTTCAGCTCTGGGCCAGAATAATGATAGATTTGACAGTTGTCCTTTAGAAGCTTTAGAATGGAAACATAGAAGGTGTCACATGCTTGAAGAAATTCTAAGACATAGTCCCGATATTATTTGTTTACAGGTAATATTAAAAAATAAGAAAATTTAATTTATAAAACTAATTTTTTTTTTTTTTGGTGTAGGAAGTTGATCATTTTGATTTTCTCAGCAGAGCTCTTGCTACACAATCTTATAGTGGTCTATTTGTACCTAAACCAGATTCACCGTGTGTTTATATAAATGATAATAATGGACCTGATGGTTGTGCAATATTTTACAAAAATGATAAGTTTGATCTGCTAGAAAAACACGATAAAGTGTTACAAGTATGGACAGTGCACAGCAATCAGGTAAAGTATACATTTTAAATACAGAAACTATTTATGTTTATTTAATAACGTATATATTTTTAAGGTGTCATTACTATTGGTACTTAAAGATAAAAGTACACAAAAAGAATTGTGTGTTTCTACAACTCATCTAAAAGCTCGTAAAGGAGCCTTGCTATCCACCTTGCGAAACGAACAAGGAAAAGATTTACTACAATTCATATCTTCCCATGCAGCGGACCGCCCAACAATTGTCTGTGGTGATTTTAATGCAGAACCAACAGAACCAGTTTACAGTACCATGTGCAGTTGTTCTTATTTACCACTAGATAGTGCTTATAAGTTGTCTGGCTCAGAACCTCTGTACACCTCTTGGAAGATTCGTGGAGGCGAAGGAGAAGTTATGCATACCATTGACTACATGTTTTACACTAAACATAAATTAACTGTTAGTAACATATTAGAAATGCCAAAAGAAATAGATATTGGTGAGAATAGAGTACCCTCTATGACTTATCCGTCAGATCATTTTTCTTTGATAAGTGATTTTTATTTTAACAACAATACATCTAATGTTTGTGAATAATTTTGTTTTAATGATTTTATTTCAGCAATAGTATTTATCTGCACTTTTTCTATTAAAAATTATAAGGTAGACTATTTTTGTTTTAATAAGGAATTGACAATATAATTTATTTTAAATTATTTTCAAGTGGTAAAGTTGACCATTTATGTTAGTCCAATTGTATTCCCATAAAATGTGTATACTTAATTTATTCGGTTTAAATACTTATTTCTTTTTACCATTTTACCAACCATATTTTATGAGCACAACAAAAGAACTAAACAACCTTATTTTATAAGTTATAAGTACTGATTGTGTTTACCAATCAAGACTAAAAAGTAAAAATATAGTAAACATATTTATTCAAAAGAAAAAAAGAGATCAAAATATTTTATTTATATTTATTTATAAGATATTATGATGTATTTGAAATCTATATTTATTATTATTTATTTATTTATTTATTTTATTTATGTATTTTAATAAACATCAGATTTGTTGTGAAAGTTAATTTCCATTTGTAAGTTATCTTTTTTCCTATTTCTTAGCCTAACCTATGACATTGGCAGCAATCATACAATTTATAATTAAAAGTTATTACCATATGAGTAAATTGCTGTGATTTTGATTAGTTGCCAACCATCTATGATCAATATTGTATCATAATTTATTATTAATTTCTATCTTAACAACATACTACATACATCCAACTTCATCATACATCAATACTTAGGACTTCTCTGATTTGATTCTTGATTTATACGATGATTAATCCATTCATCAGTGTAAAATTTAGGATCTGATATACATAGGGCTGTTCTTTTGTACAAGTAGTAATGCAAACATGAAGCTGTAATCATAATGTTGAATAAATGTTATTTTTTATTTTTTATTTGTAATATTATTTATTAAATTTTAAATGTCATTATAGGTATTCCTGGTAGTCATGATATCAGCATTTATTCTATACCACAATATTGTCATTTTAAATTGTATTATATATCGACAACTCTAACTCTATATTCTAATATTCTATACTTAAAATTGTTTTATACATTTAATTGAAGTTATATTTGTAATTATGAAGTACTGGCGATCTCCGAAACACTCAAATATTATTAAATTTGTTATTAATAATACATAATTTATCTCTTTTGAATAATATTAATAAACCATACAAATAATGGAAGTCTTATTTACATAAGTGTAATCGATATATACTTATAAGCGAAAAAATTAAGGTTATCTTGGCACATATTATAATCATTTTTTTATGGTACTTAGTCCCAATAACCGGAAATACCACACATCCAAGTTGTCCAAAAATCACTGATGTTTAATGCACCGTTTAGGGTTTATAACTTGTTAAATTAAATGAACCTGGTAAGACAAAAAAGTTGTGATTCATTGTGATTTTAAGTTGACAAAAACAAAAAGTTCACTCTGCAGACAACGAATTCAATGAACACCAATCTATAATATGAGGCCAAAAAAAAAACGGACAGTTTTAAACTTTTCGAAAAACTGCTTAGATTCTAATTATAAATTATCGTGGATCAACCGAATTGGTGTTTTTTATTATATGGTTAAGACAACGTTAAGTAACACTTACTGAACTTGTGCAGGACAAAAAACACGTAAAGTCCGTCCGGCCAGTAGAAGTACACCTGTCCCTTGAAACGGTTAGTCAGAGTCCACACCTGCACGAACAGGGTTAGTATAAAATAACCGATGCCTGTAATGATGGTCGACCGAAACTCGTTGAACAGCAGCACAATGAAACCGGCCTGCAGGAATTACAAAACTATCGTAAGGTGCTCCAATAAGTGCTCCCTCGAGGGGATAATACAATAATTTGGGATTTTTATGCACTTTTCTCTAATAGTCTAATTTATTAGTCTCCATATTGTTTTCCGAAGCTATGCTCGTTTTATAACATAAAGGTATTTTTCATGTATTTTTGAATTAAAATAATACCTAGGTTTTAATTTTCCATTTTCTAGAGCAGTGGTTCCCAAAAATTTTAGTTGTATGGATCACCATCACCAATACCTAATTATGTAAACTTTATTTTTCAGTAAAAAATGATGTACTCGAGGCCCACAAATGTAATATACAGGTGTAAATAATAATTATAATTGTATAACATATAAGCACACACAAATAAGATGATATAAGAAACATAGACGTGTATAAAATCATATAAAAATCTCGATGTTTATGCCAATTAAAATCGGCCCACCCTTGGCTTGCTAACCTTAGACCATCGACCAGCGTTCACGGCCCAGTACCAAATAAGAAAATCCTGTTTTAGAGCATTTTAAGGATTTTATGGCATTTAACACTGAATTTGGTTTATTTTAATATTTTTAATTATAAAAATAACTTAATAAGTTGTCGCGGGCTAGCCTAATCAAATATTATTCATTGTAATTTTTGAAACTGGTCAGTAGGTACGACGTAAAAATCGAGTTTATCATTACGAGTCTGGTGACGGAAATTAAATGAGAATAACTCTTTTTCAGAGTAAAAGTCTACCAGTAGAAGATTTGAAATTGTGTTGTCCTGTAGGTCTGTTCAATTTTTTATTAAATTCAATAAACATATTTTCAAAACTTATTTAAATTAAAAAAATGTAAGTGCATTAATTGAATTTTTAGGGCATAAAATATTTTTTTGTTTTTTATTTACGCTCCCAACCCTTATAATAATGAATATTCTATTATTATTTATTTGATTCTGTCACCTGAAATATGTTGGTCTGGAAGAACGTGATGAGCAACACGGCGATGGCGACCAGTTGACCGATGTCTTGTAACCTATATTATATAACATTGCGATAAAACAAAAAAAATCACAATCGATTAATAGTGAAGTTGAAAATCTGTTTCTCAAAAATATATTATATTCATCATACTTACACAAAGAGCAAAATCGAAATTCCCGTGTTGGCCAGGTACCGGTGGATAAACGTGTTGAACAACAGGTCGACGGCGAGCAGCGCCAGCTGGACGACCAGCACCAGGGTGTACCTGAACTCGGACAGTCGCATTCCTTCGACAGGCCTCCTTAGAGTGCGCAGTGGACTGTCCACTGTGGACAGCTGAAGTGTACAAGAGGTGCTGCCGTACTCGAGAAAGCCCGGCCGCCAATAATTGGTCCCCTCCTCAACCACCGTCGGCGATGGTTTTTTTTTTTATTGTGTAGCCGGAAAACTCGTGGCGGTCCCTATAGCAACGTCTGTTCGCCGCGCCATTTGTGTTTTCGTCCAGTGAACATCAAACAACGCACAACAACGGTAGGTAATAAATAGGCACTACTTCTAATAATACAAGGTTTTACACGTACACACGCATGAGAGAACACATCATGGCACGCATGTTATACCTACGCCTGGGTCATGTGTTTAATTAAAATCCAAAGCCAGGCGACCGTGTAACGTACTGTATAAAGTGAGCTAACGACCAGCGGTATAGCGATGCGCAGGTAGGATATTAAATACAATAATGATAGGTACGACGAACGCAGACAGGCACGAAACGACTAGGTACCTATTTTATGTCCTGTGTACTGCACACTTGTGTGGCATCTGGCGTGGATAGGATTTAGGAAGAGGGAGTAATATTCAGGAACAACGACTACGGTGTAGATGATACCTAGAGGTTCCGGGGCGGAAACGAGAATATTTTAGGATTTTTTGAGATTTATTGTGTTCGTGGAAACACATGGTTGGACCCTGAAATAGAATTATACAAAAACCAAACTCCGTCGTTTTCATAATATGGATATGGAACAATAATGTTATGAAAGTATAATAATTCATAAAACAAACGGTATAGTACTTTAAGTTTATGTTAGTTATTTTAAGAAAAAATGTCGACGAAATTACATATATTTAAACCAAGAAAAACGATTTTAGTTATTTTGCTGAAACATAGAAATATTATTCGTGTGTGCTTGAAATTCTTACAGTAGGTGAGTAATTATATTTTATACACACAATGAGATTTGCACACGCAATTTTTTCGAAAAAAAATGAACTCAACCTACGACTTCCTATAGAACTATAATGCCTATAATATAGTAAAGTGAATTACTTATAAAAATATTTCATTTATTATTATGATTATTAAATTATTTGTAATAAACAATAAAACAATTACTTATCAATAAATTCTGTAGGTATACTGGATATCAAAATTACAAAAAAAATTGTCATTAAGAAATGAGCTTGAAACAGATCTTTAAAAAAATGGGAAGGGGCGCATGGGTGCCCGCAGGCGAATGCATTTTAAGAATTAAAAAAAAAAATTATAAGAAAAATTTACATTGGGGAAAAACTAAAAAGACTGCAGTAGTACATCAATTGAAATTGCTATTCAAGTTAATTAGTTAATAATTAATAAATAATGAACATTTAAAGAGTTAGGTTAGGTTAGGTTAAATCTATATGTACTTTATGTTGGTACATTACTTGCACTATATAGATACATTAGTAATGTTTATTATAAAACTATAAAACTGTGATTTTATGTAATTATGTATCTATTAATCTATTAAAAAAAATGATATAGCTGTAATTTAAATTATAAATACATATATTTTTCCGTTAAGGTTTGTCATTAAGTCCTACGAGCAAAAAAAAAAATATTCAAGTATACATTAAATACACAAAATATAATCTTAAGATGTGTAATTTGAAGAGTATATTGTTAAGTATTCTAGATGGGACATGTTTACTCTGGTGAACTGATCAGTAATTCATATTTCAATCAAATGAACTGGCTCAGACTGTTCAGTGAATCAATTGACCACAATAATCATAAGTCACCTTGTTCATTTATTGGTGATCCTTCACTGTACGAAAATTTAATTGAATCATTAATGAATTCTACGGTGAGTTGTTTCTTATCATAATAATACAAAATTAAATCAAACGACGATACAGCTGGTAACGATTATCGAATAGTTCAACGGACTATTCGAATAATAGACATTTTTTAACGTTTTTAGGGCAATTTTAAATTATTTAACTTAAGTTTTATATTAAGTTATAATTAAAACCGTTAAGACTAAAAACAATATTGTGACTTGTGAGATGCCGGACAAAAAAATGGATTCGTGACAGTAGTATATCTAAATAATGGCCTATACGCAGAGTTCCGTGTTCTGAATTGTATAGATCTAAACACTCCGAATAATATTCTATTTCGGAATCTGAAATAAAAAACGCATCGTGTCATCCAAAGAATTCAAAAACTCGAAAACTGACAACAACATATTATATTATAATATCTATTATCTATGGCGAAAGCTGATCGTCGTCACTCATCGGAGACGATTCACAATTCTAATAATTTCAAAATAAACAAAAGAGAAATGTGTAAGGCAACAATAAACATTTACTCGCACATTTCATTCTACTCAAGTAATTTTTATAAAAAATCTCGATTTTTTCAGTTCGGGTTTAGATGAAGAAAGAAGTTCCTCGATATGGCGCCTGCACTCAAGATTAGGCCTTGCAGCTATATATTACCCGAAGAGTCGATGTATACGTAAGTACTAAGTTTGATTACCTATTCTTTTGGGGCTTACATATTTTAATTTTTAGTCTATAAGTCTCAAAATTAAAATTGATTGGCACAGACAATTTGCTACCCGGGTAAAGTAGGGGCATATTTTTTGTTCCCGAGCGCGCAACACAAAAAAATATGCTTATAGCACAAACGATGACGGCATCATATCCAGGTCGCAGAATAATAACATATATTTTGTACAATTATTTAAGGTAGAAACAGTGTGCGGGGGTCCTTATGTCCCTCAAGATTCGATCATTTTTAATTTTAAATATATTTAAATGTTTAGTTACATTATAATAGTTTAAATCTACATTTCCACCACAAAAAGTTCAAAATCTCTCGAAAATATTTAAGATGTGCGGTGACTTGGACGAATTGATAACGAATAAATAGTAAAATATATGAATATTTCTTTGACGCCTGTGTGAAATAAAACAACGGCATAATTTATCAAACATTATATTATTTTATGAAGCTGGGGGAGTCCCCAATATAGTATAACAGTACCTAATTTAGTAATATACAGTAAATTGAATTAACTTTTGCCAAAAACATACAAGTAGGTATATGTTATACTATTATATTTTATTTTTATCATAATAAATTATTGTTATTCATTATTATAATTCGGTATTGACAACTGACATATCGTATATAGTTATCACCTGTCAATAAAATAATGAAGTAGGTATACATGCGGACTTCCTGCATTGATAAATCATTTTATAATTTTTCGTTCGATCATTCTTGGACGTTCAAATCTTAATTTAATTTTAAATTCAATACTTTTATAACTTCTTTCTATAATAAAGGCTTTTTGAAAAATATCCGAAATGAATCGTAAGGTTCAGTGAAGGCACTATTCAATAATTGCTAAAAAATAATTTAGATATTTTAAAAATTGCATTGCGTCAATAATACACAAATATATCATGATGAAATATGAATATATTATATTCTTGAATGGCTTGAAATATAAAAATATAAGATATACCTATATAGTGCAATCAAATTATAAATTTATAAATTATAAACTATTTTGGTTATAGTTGTATCATATTTCATTAATTCAGTGAACAAATCGTAAACACAGACCTCTTTGGTATGAAAAGTTGTAATATAATATATATCTTGGGTTGTATCATAATTGACGAAATATAAGTATAATCCATGGCGGTTATCAATGTAGTTGCAAAAGACCTAGATTCTAAAATTTCAGTTAGCAAAGCAAACATGAACAAGACACATACTGCATTCCGTACAGTTTTTTTCATATAATAAATCATAATATTTTTAGACTTTAAATCAATTGAAGGTATTTTATTAGTTCCTCAGTGCACACACAATGTCACGGATTCCGCCAAAACCAGAAAGAGTTGATGTTTAAAGTTAGTAAGTTTGTTTTCGTATTCTTTCGGGGCTTAAATTTACTTTTTATAGTTCAAATAAATATTTAATTTCACGAAAAATACGCTACCCAAGACGTGTAATAGATGCATATTTTATTTTTGAGAGCAAAACGCATAAAATGCGAGAGATCAAATAATACAAACGCTACTCGCCGTCGTCTTTTTTTCGGTCCCCGATCGAAAGATATTTATAATTATTTTAATCTTGATAAGTACTTGAAATAGACATACATTACGGTTTAATTTAGAAATGCCTGTTATAACTAACAAGTCATAAAACCTAATTTTAATTTATGTAGCTGGTAAATTTGTTATAAGTTAGAACATCACAGGACAATATTAGTTTAATGTGATATAGTCATACCACAATTGTACAGTACACGGGAACGGGAGTTCTTATGTTCCTCAAAATTCAACAATTTTTAATTTTAGTTTATATACATGTTAAGTAATATATTATGAATATTACTATGCCGTCTGCTTGTGGTCAAACCGCGAATTAAAGTGACGCCGTCGTACATCAAACATCAAATTATTTTATAAAGCTGGGAAAGTCGCTCTGCTGATTATTGAATATCTATCGGAAAATAAATAAGGAAATTTTAAATTTTAAATATTCTCGAATAGCTTAAAATATACCTAACCAATGCACTCAAAATGAATACATAAAATATTAATTATTAATTTCGTTTTCGACAGTATTCAGAGAAAAGATTTAACTTGGAATTTTACAAACTATGGTTGGTATAGTCGGTGTACAGTAAATGTGATGCACTAGGCACTGAATACCTTTATGTTAAATCTAAAAAGTAGTAATCACATTTATTTACAATAAGATTTTTGTTTAATAACTCATACAAAAATATGCTTGTGCTTCAAATATTTAAACACCACCTTTATTAATTATTAAATTAAAAATTAAAATAATAGGTACTTTAATACTTTATATATTGTTGTAATTTAAATTTTAAAACTATAAACTATTTTGGTTATTGTTATACATAATTTCATTATCTTAATGATCAAATCTCAAACACGGACCTCCTTGATATAAAAATTTGTTATACACTACATGTCTATGGTTTTATCATATTGACGTAGTATAATTTATAATGCAATCCGTGGCGATTGTCGAAGTAGTTGCAAAGACGCAATCGATCTAAAATTTTAGTTAGCAAAGCTGCAGACATGAACAAGAAACATGAAGCGATCTTTTTTTTCATAATAAATCTCAATATTTTAAGACTTAAGTTCAGTTGTATTTCTGATTTATTTCGCAGTGCACACACAATATCAGGAATTCCGCCGAAGCCCGAAAGCGTCGATGTTTAAAGTAATTAATTTTGGTTTCATATTTTTTTGGTGCTTAAAATTATTTTTTATACTTCAAATAAAAATTTAATTTCATGAAAAATATGCTACCCCTGTGTAGACACATATTTTATTTCTGAGAGCAAATGCATAAAATACGAGAGATCAAATAATATACAAACGCCGCTCGTCGTCGTCGTTTTTCTGCTCCCTGATCGTAGGGTAATTTT